GGCAGATTAATTTTATCTTATTGAAAACACTTTTGTGAAGAACATCATACCAAAAGATGAAATGCCTATGAGTAAAATGATGATTCTCTCTTGAAGATACAAAGTGTTGAATGCCAGCGTCATCCCTGAGGGACAGTTCATTGACAACAAGAAAGCTTCAGAGAAGCTTCTTGGCTCCATTGATGTGGATCACACACAGTACAAGTTTGGGCACACAAAGGTACACCTCATTATTTTAATGAGTGTAAATAGAGTGTCCATTTGCACAGCACTTATTGTTATTATTTAATTATTTTTCCATAACAAAATAGGTGTTCTTCAAAGCTGGTCTGCTGGGCACTCTTGAGGAGATGAGAGATGAGAAACTGGTTGAGCTGGTGACCATGACTCAGGCTCTCTGCAGAGGATACGTCATGAGGAAAGAGTTTGTGAAGATGATGGAGAGGAGGTAACATTATCATACTAAACTCTATCGTATTCTCTTTTTTATTTCCTTCCTCATATTAAGATCCTACGACACTAAAAGTAACACTCTCATGTTTGGTTTTGTAGAGATGCTATCTTCTCCATCCAGTACAACATCCGTTCTTTCATGAATGTCAAGAACTGGCCATGGCTGAAACTGTACTTCAAGATCAAGCCTCTTCTGAAGAGTGCTGAGACTGAGAAGGAGTTGCAGAACATGAAGGAGAACTATGAGAAGATGCAGACAGACCTGGCTGCTGCTCTGGCCAAGAAGAAGGAACTGGAAGAGAAGATGGTCAGCCTGCTGCAGGAGAAGAATGACCTGCAACTTCAAGTGGCTGCAGTAAGTAATAAAAAAAAGAACAAATATATATGCCTATAATGTCTTGTATGCATGTTAGCTGATTCTGACCGTGTATGTGGCACAACAGAGTATAGATTTTTTCAAATGAATAATGAGCAATTGCCAAGACACACAACATGACAGCACTAAATTATACATTGTTTTCTGTTCCATGTATTATAGGAAGTTGACAATCTCTCTGATGCTGAAGAAAGGTGTGAGGGGCTTATTAAGAGCAAGATCCAGCTCGAGGCCAAACTCAAAGAGACAAGTGAGAGACTGGAGGATGAAGAGGAAATCAATGCTGAGCTGACTGCTAAGAAGAGGAAGCTGGAGGATGAATGCTCTGAGCTGAAGAAGGACATTGATGACTTGGAGCTCACCTTGGCCAAAGTGGAGAAGGAGAAACATGCCACAGAAAACAAGGTTCAGTTTATCTATATCTGAGAGGAAAAAATGACTCTAAATTAAAATATAGTAATTCTTTCCTGATATATAGTTGTTAAGTTATATTTAAATACATCATTTGTACAATTCTTAGGTGAAAAACCTGACAGAGGAGATGGCATCTCAGGATGAGGCCATTGCCAAGTTAACAAAGGAGAAGAAAGCCTTACAAGAGGCCCATCAGCAAACACTGGATGATCTCCAGGCAGAGGAGGACAAAGTCAACACTCTGACCAAGGCCAAGACAAAGCTGGAACAGCAAGTTGATGATGTAAGAAAACTATAATCATATTGCTTTTTTAATGGAAAGAGTATCGAATCATTGTCTTTCCAACCACTTGAATCTACTGACATGACTTTATAGCTTGAGGGTTCACTGGAGCAAGAGAAAAAGCTCCGCATGGACCTTGAGAGAGTCAAGAGGAAGCTGGAGGGAGATCTGAAACTGGCCCAGGAATCCATAATGGATCTGGAGAATGACAAGCAGCAGTCTGATGAGAAAATCAAGAAGTAGGGCATTTTTCCGTTATTACTAGCAAAGTTTGTTTGTTAGATTGTCCACTCCGTAAATGTAGACTACAAAAAGTCACCTGCAGCTAAATGTAGTGCTGTAAGATCTGACATGTTTATGCCCTACTTTGTCCACAAATCTCTAATGCCGAACAATAATGTCATCACTCAATGACTTAATTTCTTAACTATGTTTCTGTGAGTAGCAGCGAAATAGTAAGCTTTCTTTACTTCAAAGCTGTCTTTACATGTTCAAATCTATAATACTGAATTTGCTCTTCTTGTCCTGTTACAGGAAGGACTTTGAAATCAGCCAGCTTCTCAGCAGAATTGAGGATGAACAAACCCTAGGTGCTCAACTGCAGAAGAAGATCAAGGAACTGCAGGTAACACTGTTATAACTCAATAATATATTCACTGAATCTAAAGCATGTTCAATGGGTAATGTCCTTTTCATATTATCATTGCACTAGGCTCGTATTGAGGAGCTGGAAGAGGAGATTGAGGCTGAGAGGGCAGCTCGGGCTAAGGTAGAGAAGCAGAGAGCCGACCTTTCCAGGGAGCTTGAAGAGATCAGTGAGAGGCTCGAGGAAGCTGGTGGAGCAACAGCTGCTCAGATTGAGATGAACAAGAAGCGAGAGGCTGAGTTCCAGAAACTGCGTTGTGATCTTGAGGAATCAACTCTGCAGCATGAAGCTACTGCAGCAGCTCTCCGTAAGAAGCAGGCTGACACTGTTGCAGAGCTCGGAGAGCAGATTGACAACCTCCAGCGTGTCAAACAGAAGCTGGAGAAAGAGAAGAGCGAGTACAAGATGGAGATTGATGACCTCTCCAGCAACATGGAGGCTGTTGCTAAAGCAAAGGTGTGGGTTTTTTTTTTTAGAGTACAAAGTTTGTTTGAGCATTTAAAAGCAGGTATTCATGAACTGTTAACATGAATAAACCAAAATTATTTTAGTTACAGTTACTTTTTCTAAATTTAAAATAATTTTCAAATTATTGTAAACAGTTATATATTTATGTGTTTATATATATATATATATATAATTAATTGCAGTACATCTCTTTTATAAATAACATATGCTAATCTTCACAGGGCAACTTGGAGAAAATGTGCAGGACTCTTGAGGATCAACTAAGTGAACTCAAAGCTAAAAATGATGAGAATGTTCGTCAGCTGAATGACATTAATGCCCAGAAGGCGAGACTTCAAACAGAGAATGGTAAGTGATGTATAACAAAGAAACAGTCTTTTGGTGGCGTTATCAGTTTTGCACATTCACATGTACTAAGCTCAGGTTATTTAATTTGAGTTTAAGAGTGGCAGATTAATTTTATCTTATTGAAAACACTTTTGTGAAGAACATCATACCAAAAGATGAAATGCCTATGAGTAAAATGATGATTCTCTCTTAAAGATACAAAGTGTTGAATGCCAGCGTCATCCCTGAGGGGTGAATTAAATAACCTGAGCTTAGTACATTACTCATAGGCATTTCATCTTTTGGTATGATGTTCTTCACAAAAGTGTTTTCAATAAGATAAAATTAATCTGCCACTCTTAAACTCAAATTAAATAACCTGAGCTTAGTACATGTGTGTTAATTACAGGTGAGTATTCTCGGCAGCTTGAGGAGAAAGAAGCTCTTGTTTCTCAGCTCACAAGGGGCAAGCAGGCCTTCACTCAGCAGATTGAGGAACTGAAGAGACACGTTGAGGAGGAAGTGAAGGTCTGAAGTATTTTCTGTCTTCTTTTTTGTCATAGCACTTACTAATTTAAACACATAAGTTTTAAATCAGCTGGGCTGTCCTCTAATTTGGTTCCTAGTTGTTACCATTTAAATTTCTCATCCTCTCAGCATTAGACTTTAATATTGACTTAAACATTAAAGTTGTCCATCTGACATTGATTGTGTGTTCAACAGGCCAAGAACGCCCTGGCTCATGCTGTTCAGTCAGCACGTCATGACTGTGATCTGCTCAGAGAGCAGTTTGAGGAGGAGCAGGAGGCCAAGGCTGAGCTGCAGCGAGGAATGTCCAAGGCCAACAGTGAGGTGGCTCAGTGGCGATCCAAATATGAGACTGATGCCATCCAGCGCACTGAGGAGCTGGAGGAGGCCAAGTAAGTCATGATACTTTCATTGTCCTAATTGGGTTTCACAGTTTTTTCATTAAACAACTACAAAATTCTTTTAACAACAGGAAAAAGCTTGCCCAGCGCCTGCAGGAGGCTGAGGAATCCATTGAGGCTGTGAGCTCCAAGTGTGCCTCACTGGAGAAGACCAAGCAGAGGCTGCAGGGTGAGGTGGAGGACCTCATGATTGATGTGGAGAGAGCTAATGCTCTGGCTGCCAACCTTGACAAGAAGCAGAGGAACTTTGATAAAGTAAAGATTTAAACATAACCAATATCATCAAAATAAACATACACGTATAATAACAACCAACTAATTAACCTACAATAACATAGGTCCTGGCAGAATGGAAGCAGAAGTATGAGGAGAGCCAGGCAGAGCTGGAAGGAGCCCAAAAGGAGGCTCGTTCTCTCAGCACTGAGTTGTTCAAGATGAAGAACTCATATGAAGAGGCTCTGGATCATCTTGAGACCATGAAGAGA